TTTTCTTCAACGGAGAGTCTCCAGACTGATTAGCGAGTGAAACCTTGAAAGCTCGCGAGATCAGGATGGTCTCAGGAGGCTTTTACTTCACACGATGCTCCACATTCCTCATTTTAGGGAAGACAGGACCTCATGGAAGAGCTGTCATAAAATATAACTTGTTTCTCTTAATATTACAACTTTATTATCAAAATTTTTCGACTTTATTCTTGTAATTTTATGACTTTATTATTGAAATTTTACGACTTTATCCTCTTAATCTTACAACTTTATTCTAGTAATTTACGACTTTATTCTCTTAATTTTAAGACTTTATTCTCGTAATAGAAGAAAAAAAATTCTCTAGCCTGGCTCTCATACTCCATCTTATCAAAAGCAGCAGCAGGACAAAGAATAATTATTAAAACTGTCCAATAACCAGAATCAGTTTAAAATGAGATCATTTTAAACTGAGCTGATTCAGGACCCTAACCAGACTTTAACCCTTTATAGGGCACTCAGTGAAATACTTTGAAAATCTAAATTTCCAGCCAATAGTGTCATTGGAATCCAGCATAAGACCTTATTACCTTCATTCAAACAATCTGGATATTTTGGTGGTAAATATTAAATGTTATTACATCTTAATGTCAATGTAATAACATTTTTAAGGAGTATGCAAGTGATCAAAAACACCAACTTGCCCTATTAAGGGATCCTATAAAGATGGATGCTAACTTCCCGTGAATGTCATGAAGCTGAAGGTGCTCTTGGAGCTTCATGAAAACAAACACTTTATTTAAATGTTTAAAAAAAAGGGGGAAATTTAGAAATCTGCACACATTTTAGAGAATTGAAGGATCCAGACATCCAGGGTGATGAATACATGAGCAGAAAATGGGACTGAAAGCTTTAGACAAAGTGATGAGTGTTTGGACTTTTGCATTAGAACTATTAAAGGAAAAACAATGTTAAAAAGTCAATGTACACAAATATATATTTTTATAATTTTTTCATGTGACTTTCTTTTCTCATTATAACAGAATTAGAAGATGCAATGACACCAAAGCGATGATTTGAGACCTGATATCATTACAGACGGATCAGAAAAAAGGAGGTAAGAACAACCTAATAAAAACCGATTTAGGAAATTTGGGGCCCTAGGCAAAGACAGGCAGGG